GCTTTTTCTAGCATTTTTTAAACTTTGAACACGAATTACAGCCAAACAACTAAAACCACAGTAATATATCGATACTTGCTACATGCCCCAAACATTCAGCTTTCATATGCATATAATGGATTCATTATATCTATTATAGTTTTCGAGTAAATCAATGAAATGTGAAAACACTGCTTTTTCGAACGTTCGAATTTCACCTTCCCAGGGAGGCGCGCCTCTCAGTTTGGAAAACGCTGAATTAAACGCAGGTGTTTCTTGTCGCAGGTTTTCAATACAAACACAGATGTTCAATTAAACGCAGGTGTTTCTTATTGCAGGTGTTCAATAAAAACACATATGTTCATGCAGTTGTTCAATTAAACGCAGGTGTTTCTTGTCGCAGGTTCAATAAAAACACAGATGTTCATGCAGGTGTTCACGCAAGTGTTCAATTAAAACGCTGATGTTTCTTATCGCAGGTGTTCACCCTGGTGTTCAGAGGTTTGCAATGTTGTGAGTTACTTTACCATCCGGCTATATCTCGATAAGATGCAAGTTTTAGTTTATTATTTTTGTTTATAATTAATTAAAAGGAAAACCAATATTTTTTTCGTGCTATAATAACTAATTTTCTGTTAAATAATAACTTTCTATAATTAACATTTATTTATAAGATGAGGACTGAGAGATTGAGTTATCCGTGTGTGAAATTTTATTGTCCTTAAGAGGATCTTTATTTTGAACTGAACTCATTCTCTTTCTATCTGAAAGCGTCGCTGTAATGCGGCTGTTTGTTATATAAAGTGTTCTTTAGTGTGTGTATGTATGCGTGCGTGTATGTGGATATTGTCTTAAAAGCAATAGAGCGTTCAGGATGGTCCATCGATTAAGTTTGCCAATTTTCTCCATCGGCGCGCCTGTGGTCAGTATGTTTATACAGGTCCGAAGCCAGACTCTGGAGTGGTATAGACGGGTCGTGACCAAACTCTAGTCTATCCACCAAAAACTTTCCTTCCTGCGAGCATGAGCATCCTCCCACCTTCGCATGTAAGACACATATGTTTATATAGGTATACCGTACTGCAGGAATAGGAGAAATGTCCTCGGACGACTGGGCCTGGAATGCTATTTGCTTAAGGGCCTCCCATCCTCCCTGCAGCATTGCAGAGGGCAGATGAAGAAGGTTGCTCGAGGCTCAGTCCGTAATCCCGTTTTTGTTTATTCATTTTGTTTGTCGATCCCTCTACCTCCCTCCCTCCCGCCGGTTCTCCACGGAAAGTCCCAGGATTGCATTTCTTAATGCAATACATATTCGCATTGTTTATTCGATTTGCCGGAGGGTGTCTTCCCTTTGTGACTCCCTTCCATTTTCCATCCTTCTATATTTTCATTTCGCTTTGCATCGCTTCGCCCTTATTCCTGCATTTCATTCTTTAAACGGCCAACATTACTCTGCTAACTTAATTATAATATAAATAACTCAGGCCGCGTGGGGGCGGCGCGCGCTAATTATTGCCAGCTTTAAACGAACGTTGAGCTCATTGAATCAATTGCGCTTCAACATTTAATATCTCATTAAAACCAGCCCCAATTCCTGCCGCCTGGCGTTAACTTTGACGCAAAAACCAAATCACTAAATCTAATTTGCAATTTGCGCCTCGAACTCGAACTGCCTCAGATTGAATCCCTAAACTACCTCACCCACACTCACCGCTTTAACGTATACACATTTATGCATATATTTCATGCAAATATAAATTAAAATCCAACCAGAGTTACAATTTTCACGCCTTATTTTATTTCAAAATTATTCGCATCAAACATTACATTAATTACTTAAAGTTACATAACTTGTAGATTTGTAAACGTAGGTATAAAATACAGTATTTCTCATTGAATCAGTCTCATACATTGAAATACTAAAGCAATTCGTAATCCTTAGAAAATTTTATTTTCCAAATCCGCACTCAACTGGTAAGAGATTTCGGAAACTGTAATCCAAGTATAAGACGCACATTCACCCCGACAATTTACGTGTGCCTTTATTAATTTAACAGCATCGAAAAGAACCGCTTCGCACATTCGTCGTTGCTCTCTTGCGATTTTCCAATTTTAATAAAATACATATTATATTCGGGAAACCGTCTGGGGTCCGCCCGTTCAGCGAGTGTGCGAATATACGAGGTGCACACCCTCCGCTCCGCTCGCGCCCGCACCCCATATCCGTTCTACTGTAGGGGTGTGTGTAGGTGCTGCGATGGTTGGGGGGAGAACGGAATTGCCAGAAGTAACGTTTCAGCTCGAGCATCTCACGTGATTTATGCACCTTCTAAAGAAGTTGTCACGGAATGCGGGAGGCGGAGAAGGCGGTTGGTGAGGTTCGCAACCGTCGAACCATTTTGTTCACAATGAAATGAAGAGGAAAATGAGCCTCAAATGAGCGTAACAATCTCGATGCGCCGTTTGGAATGTCGCCGTAATGACTGCCTCTGTCATACCTTTGCTCCCGCAAATAGAAATTACTTTTCTTCGGCGAATCAGTTAACCGCAATCTCGAAGGACGAAGTGCTCTCCGTCACGTAGACTTAATAGCATTTCAGACATCCAACGTTGGATTCCACCGCAATTTTGGATAATTAAGGAATGCATCTGTAGGGAATTCAGATGAAAGTTACTTTTCTTATAAAATAAATTTTATCACAAATTATTTCAACCATACAAAAATATTCTTTTTGATTTATTTAATATAATAATACACTTATAATTTGATTCTATTTTTTGTAAAACACTATAAAATTAGATAAATAAACTTGTTAAATATTTAGTATTTGTCATAATTTAAATGTAATATGTATAATATTTTTATTGAAGTAATTGAAAGTTAACACAATTATGGGAAATAGTTCTTTTTATGTGTCGAATGCGATCGAATTTGAAGTGAATTTGGCTTTGTCTTTGTTTGCGGATGGTGGTCTTCGGATACTTATTTGGATATAAGATTACTTTGTGCTGGGGGCGGTAGGGGAGATAGAGTAGCACGTGGAAGATGTCGCATTGTCGTTAGGCGGATGCTGTGGGGGTGGTGGTCGATAGTCCAGCACATTTGTTGGATTGTTGCATGTTTGTTTGCTTGCTCTGCTTGTTTGCTGTTGTTGGTGTTGGTGTTGTTTCTGTTGCAGACACGAGCGACGCACGGACTTTCGCTGCGGTCGGCGCTCGCAGCGCGGAAATGAACTTCGTTTGGCGGGCAAACTTCGCACGGCCTGCTAGGCTTCAACTTAGCTCCTGCGGGTATCCAAGACGTCCTCTGCACAGTGTACAGCGCTATAGTCCTGAGGATACGGCTATGTGTATAGCGTGTGTATATATTTCATTGATTGCGCGCTGGCTTTCGGGGTGAGAGGGCGAGAGAAAGAGAGAAGAGAAGAGGGAGGAAAAGGGAAGGCGAGAAAGAGGGAAGGAGTTGGTGAATGTGAGAGGGTGAGAGTGAGCGAGAGGGTGCGAGTGTGCCTGCAACACGACACGCCCGCCGCGCTCATCCCAGAGAGCGCGCGTTGCCGCCTCCGGCCTCCGGCCTCCGCCGTCCGACCTGTTCTGTAGCTGCTTATTTATCCGGCGGCTGCGAACAGAATCGCGCCCTGCTGCCTTGAAAAATCCTTACCGCGACAGAAGCGACATACAGCAATACTGCGCCCCAGAGACGGACCAGCAGTCTGCAGAGAGCGGCGGAAACGCGTCCGTAGCGAATTCAAAAGCTCCCGCTCTTCCGTTTCCGGTTCGACCTGCGCGCCACCTGTGCACGTGACACGAGCGCGTAGTCCACAGTGCGGCGATTTTCGAAAACTGAAAATTCAAAAAATATCGGGTTACTTCTTCTGGAGTTTTGCAATGATCGCGGAGCGTAAACCTTAACGCTCGATCACGACAGGAACTCGCTGAAACCGCTAAAGCCGCTGAGCTCAGACGCTGTTTCCTTGAGACCGGTTGAACGTAAACAATTGCCTTGGCTTCATCACCGGTCCTCGTGGGTTACAGCCTTGTCGGCGTGTACCCGTGCGCGGTGTGGAAGCCGCGACGAGCCCCAAGCCCCTCGACGTCTTCACCATCGACGACGGTTTGCAATCAGACTGGAGGTGGTCCCATTCGCTCCCGGTTAACTAATGCTACCAGGACTCAGCCCTATCCGCAATCCCACCCCATCCAGCAGTACCAACACCAACATCCACCGCCGCAACCCATCCTGCAACAGCAGCACCACCAGCATCAGCAACAACAACAACAACAACCCCAACCGCCGCCAGTAGTCCTGCAGCCGCAGCCACAGCAACAACAAGTGATTAACACCAATCAGCGAGCTTTACCACCAGTCCAAGTGGTCACATCCTGCAGTTGTCGCGACGCGACCAGCAACACGAACGTCGACAATCTGCCGCAAGTGTCGAACGCAACATCAGCAACACCGATGTTGTTCGTACCGTTCTCGGTGCCAAGCTTCGCGCCACCGATGGCAGCAACCAACCTTCATCCCAACAATTGCAGTCCTTCAAAGGTAAACAAAACACACTCTCACTTTCCGTACTATTTTCGATTACTTAGTAAAACCCCCCCTGGTAAGCGGAAATATCTTTGGGTCCGCAATTTTTTTCACCTAAAGAGAAACACACCAGTCAAGGGAAGACAACTTATATTTATCACTTTTAAACCATTACCATAATATACATTATATCCAAATCTAATTGAATATATATACAAAACCAATTAGTGTATTTTTGTTGTTTTATATTTGATGTTCGTTTATTTCCAATAAAATAACGATGCTGCAATGGATTCGGGCAAATTCATCAATTTAAACACAATGTTGAGATCAATTTGCACATGCAATATTATTATATTTGCTATAATTTAACTGAATTTACAAATCACGTTGTTTAATAAATTAACGAAATCATGCAAAGCTATTATTATTTAAATGCATTGCTTTTAATTAAAAATTAAATTATCATGTTTTAAATATATGAATATTTTTCCACCAAATAAGGATTATATTCTATAATTGATTAATTGTTACTCATCTTTAGATTATTAAGATTAACCAAACGTATGGGTTGTCAATCTTCTTGATAATAGTTTAGCGACTGAAGCGACTTTAGCCACTGGATCTACCATTGAGTTTCAATAAATAATCAATAAGTAAAGGATAAGAGCCAAAGGGCGATGTCCAATTAATATTTGTCAACCGGTTGATCATTTACTGAATGTTTTTATTATAAAATAGATTGTAAATAAAAAGGATTGTCATTAGTCACAAAGTCTTCAAAATGGAAAAATAAAAAGAAAATAACATTATTGATGATTAATATATCTGAAATATGATCATATAATAATAGCCTAATATCATTAAATTTTATGTTCAATATTAATGTTATTCTATTAATTTCTTAATGAAATTTGACGTGCCATAAGAAAGAGACATTTTCATTTTAATGTTTCCAATGAAATTTTATATAATTTGCGACGATTATGAGTAATCGATATAATACAATGATCTATCAATTTTTCATCAACTTTTCGTAATATAACATGAATATTAAGAAACAATTTACACATTTTTTTTATTTAATTTATAAATCATATTTAAACATTTATATAATGCCTTTGTATTTATATAAAATATCTATATTTTATTATCATGGATATGATAGATATCTGAAGATGAGTATTTTAACTGTTGCCTTTGAAATGTTTCAAAGCGTTTACCGATTCCGCTCCGTTTCGTTGCATATTTTCATTTTCCAACATATTATATCGTATATATGTATATATACGCCGTTATTTTGCTTTTTCAGAAACAATTTTTCCAATCATGCGGAACTTAGCCGATGCGTTGCGTGCATTTGAATCAATTCAAATTTTAAACAGTGCGATTTTCATGGCTGCCCATTTTAGCATATTTGCATTCGTAATTTGCAATTAATGCATAAATCTTTTTTTTTATTATTATTCATTTCGGTGGTTGGGATAGTAGAATGGCCAAGGTTATGAATTGCGTTCATCAAAGTTTTGGGCTAAAGGGGATGGGTGATGGCATGGGGTGCATACCGTGCAACCCTTTGATGCAGGCCATCCTTCGTCCCCTCATCCCTCTGGGGCATCACAAATACTCGTATACGCACAGGTATACATACAATGAAATGCAAATGTTTTTGATATTATGACATATTTTGCATTTCTGCTTTGAATCATTGTGTTTATCAATAGAATTCTAAAATAAATTATTGGTGCGTATTGTTTCACCGAATTTCAGGAATTCCAGTGAAATTTTTATTTAGCATTGCTCTTTTTTACTCGCAAACAAAACGCTCTTTTGTTACGTGCCTTCTTTTCACTTCAAATTTCTATAAAATTGAGTTAATTAAATTTACTTTCAATGCATTTGCTTTGTAATGCAGTTATGCTGAATACCTTACAAGAGAAATTTCTATAAATGAAAAAAAATAATATATTTATTCAATAATAAATTGGGTTTGAATTGATTAAAAAAATCAAAGAAAAACCCAAAAAAATTCATTTATTTACAACAAAATATTTTATAATAATTTTATTCAAGGTTGATATAAAAGCATTAAAGAATTAAAAATAATCAAAAATTAATAAATTGTGTTATATAATAATTGTGTTAAATTCATTGGACGTTTGAATGAATTGTGTTTAGTAAGTGAAGTTGTGCAGATCAGGTATTTTGTTATGGCTGTGCTTGCGGTGGATGCGCCTGGCCCGACGGCTGTTAATTTTAATTAGCGAATAATTTTATGTGCGACGGGGGACGTTGCACCATGAATTATTGATTGTGTTTCGCTGACTTGTGCCGTGCTTATTATTAATTAGGCAAGTAAGGATTTCTGTAATGGAATCGGCTCCAATCGATTAATATTATATTAACTGCGGGGACGGATGGGGGCAATCTTAAATCAACATGCTCGTACCCTCTAAAGCACCCCTGAAAAGTAATGGGACTGCGCTCTCGGGAAATACAGTACTACCGCAGTACCACTCTACAAACACAAGCATCATCACACATAGATATATTTTAGCAGGGTTGAATTAAACAGTGTTTCGATTTGTGAAGTTGTCTCCATCCGTGGAAGCAATTTGCAGTAATGTACCATTCTGTCGACGCTTAATTAGCTACCGCGGTTCGGGATTATCTTATGGGGATGCGGCGTGAAAAGTATCGACGGGAAGCCCAGCCGCAAGCATATAATTAGGGGAAGTCGTGGTTGGAAAATTTTCTATTACTCTCTTCCTCTCACTCACTCTTTCTCTATAGCTTTGCAAAGATTTAATTAAAACTTATAGATATTCTATTCTTCTTGGTAATGAAAATTAAAGTCGGAAAAACAAAAGTTCTGTCCGCTTCGTCAAAAAGGGTGCAACACTTGGTGGGAAGTGCTCTGCGTGTTGGGTAAGAAGTAAGAGGTTATCACTGTAGGTATCTGGGCTGGTGTTTTTGATATGCAGACAAACGGGTCGTCGGAGCGAGCTTAAGCTATTCCCAAATGGCATTACGGCGATACAGTGTTCCCTCCTTTTTGAAATATACCGAGGTGCTTCAATTTTATCGCGAACTTAAACGCGGAACGAAATCAAGCGATTCAACCCCCTTCAAATATTCATGCCATTTAATATATCCCAGATACTTCCAGCCGGTTACGGACTTCAACAACGCCGCCGTCACCACCACCCCCCGTTATTTACTTTACCCGCTATCTGGGCACTAATTCAAAACCAACAAATATGATGGTGAGCTGCGGCCACCAAAGCCCCCATGAAACGAGTTGACACCCCCTACGCACGATCGATACTCTCTGAATCCCTTAAAAAAAAATGATATACACAAAATCATATATACAGGGTGTTTCTAAAATTTCAGATTCCTCAGACAATTTTTTTTTAGTAGAAATTTAGATTCATTAGGAAAATGTATATACATATCTACTTATAAAATTCATTTTAATATAAATGTAACAAAAAATGTTTGTATAAAAACACCCTGTATAAAGAAACAAAGAGTAATCCATGGGCGTGATGTTGTTTTTTTTTTACTGTTGCTGAAACCGTCGCCCTGCTGAAATTAATGAAGAAGCGTACAGGAAATACATCAGCAGCCCGATAATGAAATTGTTATATAACAGGGAAAGTATGAAAGAGTCCAAACCGTGAGCAATATATCCTGCGAGTACAAACGTTGTTTCTTGTCGGCCGGTTTATGTCATCCCTTGGCTTCTATTGTGGTTTTCTGGCACAAGATACAAGCACTAAAATTCATGGGAAAATGGACCCATCCTCCCCAACTCCCCCTTTTCCTTTCTGCAGGCTCCGTGTCTCCCTTTGGCTCGAAGCGTCGCTTGCAGTCGTTTTCTTTTCATTTTTCGCTTTCGGGTCGAAAGGCAAAGCAAATTATTGCTCGCAGTTTTATCTACGTCTAGGCGCGAGGCTGTCGACATGGTCGGAAATTATTACTTTATGGGATTAATCTGATTACGAGCGAGGCTCGAGTGCGGTGTTAGTCCCGCAAAAGGGCGCCCAAACCTCACGTGCGACGCTCTATTTACACCTCCCTTTAGCGACGGCCTCCGCGTAATTAGGTTTCGGAATTACTGGAAAACATTCAATTGGACTCCAACCGTTCTATACCATACCATACCATGCAAGGCTATACCTTATACACTCTCCGAGGAAATTAAAATATCTTACCGCCTCCGCGCGCCCTTTCGCAAACGCAAACGCACCCCATCCGTCTCCCTTCGCCCGTTTTCGGCGCTCGAAGGGTTTCGCAGCCGGAATAAACATTTACTTTTCCTTCCAACTTGCTAGACAAATACTCATCAACACGGGCGGCTTATACAAAACGAAATTAATGGAAATCACTGAACCGCTTGATTGGCTTGGCTATTAATCATCGTCGCGAAGCTTTACGTCTTTCATTGATACCCTAAGAATCAGAAAGATATTTTATAAATATTTTAAAACGAACATGATCATTAATTTAGCTTTTGATAAATTATACAATATTTAAATTGATTTTAGATCAAACAAAATTGAATTGTAGTGTTTCAAATAATATCAATTAATAATGTTAAGCTTAATTTTATTTACTCAATGTTGAAATTAAGTGGATAGCAAATACAGTTTAGACGATATAAAGTTGTTAAAAAAAAGGAAGAAACTTTCTATAGTTAATTAGAGCGCATCAAACATTTACAGCCCTATTCAGGGGTGGAAACAATGCGGCAACGGTAGACCCTCCCTTATTAACAATGAAACGGTATTAGGTTTTACTTGGAAACCCTTTGCGTATCCCAAAATGTAAATTGTTGTTATGAATGCGGCGAATTTAATGTTATTATCAGGTGGGAGGCCATTATCGATGGAAATAGTGGCGGATTAGCAGTCGGCTTTCTCCTACTAAAAAGGGACGGCGCGCATTCATTCCAGATAGTGGCTTCCATTAGGATACAACCCCTTCCGGCATTACCACCGGATTCCACA